TTTTTTGGTTCTTATTGCGTGGACAGGGTGTGAGGGATGAGTTGCGGGAGATGTGGGAGACACGGTTGAGGGCGTTCTCGACCACTGAGTGGGGGAAGTTACGGTCCTTGAAAAACGAGGACAACTGAGATTTACGGGAGTGAAATGCCTCATCCTCGGAGCAGATGCGGCAGAGGCGAAGGAATTGGGAATAGGGGATAGCATTTTTGCAGGAAGGTGGGTGGGAGGAGGAGTATTCTAGGTAGCTGTGGGAGTCGGTGGGCTTGAAATGAATATCGGTTTCTAGGTGGTTGCCCGATATGGAGACAGAGAGGTCCAGGAAGGGGAGAGAGGTATCAGAGATGGTCCAGGTAAACTTAAGGTTGGGGTGGAAGGTGTTGGTGAAGTGTATGAACTGTTCGAGCTCCTCGTGGGAGCACGAGGCGGCGCCGATACAGTCATCAATGAAACGGAGGAAGAGGTGGGGTTTAGGGCCGGTGTGAGTACGGAAGAGGGATTGTTCCACCTACAGACAAAGGGATGGATAATAGTAAGCCAGGGAGAAAGACGAGCTGCTAATGGGGACTGAAAATGGGTTGGCTGTGCTGAAAGCAGCCTATGTGGTGACAGAACCTGGAGTGTGAAAGTCGGTAAAGGACATGGATGAAAGTGTTCAGGCCCTAAAATTGTTGAACTTGATACTGAGTCCTGAGGCTGCAGGTCCCCAAAGAGATGCTGTTCTTCCAGTTTATGCTGAGCCTGAGAAACAGAAACGTTGTACAAGGAACATGATGTGTTGAAGTGAAGCAAGTTAACATGTTTGTTTTAATTTTGAAATTCATCTTTACATGTTGCTCTGTCATGGACTGCCTCAAAAACTGGCCCTGTTCAGATCCATCATCTTCCTTTTCTGGGTTTATGCATCCCTGAACTATGAAACTGCATCCACAAAACAGTGTTAACAAAATTCACAAAAACAGTGTCTGTTCTTTACTGATAATAGCGTTAACCGATTCCAGCCCTGCCCACGAGTTTTTCCTTCTAAGCTCCAATCTTGAGGTGTTGCATCAGGCAAATACTGTTTGTGAACTTTTCAAACCCCCTACTTTCTCAGCTGCACTGAAGTGTTAATACTTGCAGGCTTCATATAAGCCTCTCATGGCTTTCATCAAAACAAAGTCAGCAAGATTCCCACTTCTTCAGTTCCCCAGGATTTCTTCTGGGTATTAACCCCAACACTTAGCTACCTACTAATTCCTAAGTCTTATTCTGAAGACTTCTTCATGAGTTTTCACAGCACAGAGCCACCCAACTGCTCTTCACTCCTCTTTGTATCCCTAAACACAATCTACGTAGTTCAGCTGCATTCTCAGCAGTACAGTATTCCTAACATGGAGTCTACATCTCTCTCAGTCTGCCCCTGGATCCTTCTCCCACTCATTGCTTACAACTTTTAGACTCTTCTTGCAGTGACCCCAGAGGTTTCCTGTGTGAAGTATCAACCACCTCACAATAAAAGCACTACCCAGAACTCCTCCTTCTGCCATTGCTGGACAGAAATTAATGTTGAGAATGTTACTATTTTGCATCTCTTGGAGCTATCTGTTCCATAAATGCCATCCATCAAAGATTTCCTTACATCCTGTAGCATTGCTATTGTTCCCCTGTAGCCATGCCTTTGTTCCCTGTAGCTGCTCCTATTTCCCTTCGAGACAACAAGGTGCAGGGCTGGATGAACACAGCAGGCCAAGCAGCATCATAGGAGCAGACTGCTGTGTTCATCCAGCCCTGCACCTTGTTGTCTCGGATTCTCCAGCATCTGCAGTTTCTACTATCCCTATTTCCCTTCGTCCTGCTTTGTTTCCTCTGTAGCCGCATCCCTGTACACCTACAGTGCTTCCCCTGTTCTACTGTAACCCCACCCCTGTTTCTCTGTGGATTACACCTATCTTCTGTAGCTCCATCCATGTTTCCTGTAGCTTGACCCTGTTCCTGCCCAGTTCTCCTATAATAAGAATAAAAGACATAAGAACAGTGGGAAGCCATTCAACCCTGCTCTACCTCTCATTAAGACAATGCCTAGTCTGATTCTGACATTAGTTCCATTTTCAGCCGGTCCCCAAGTGGGGAATCCTTGGCTCCCTTGTAAATCAAATATCTGTCGATCTCAACCTTGAATATATTCAATTACCCTGCCCCACTCCTATCTGGAGAATGGAATTGCAAAGATGAATGACTCTCCAAGGGAATAAATTTGTCCTTATCTCATGGGAGATCTTCATTTTTAAATTGTATCCCCTAGTCTAGATTATCCCATATGATAGGACACATTCTCTCAGCATCTACCCTTTGTAGCTCCCCAGGTTCTTGTATATTTCAATAAGATCACAGTTCATTCTTCTAAACTCCAGTGAGCATCACTTCTCAATACAATCCAGCCCTTTCATTCCAGGATTCAGCCAGGTGAACCTTCTCTTGACTGCTTTGAATGCTTATATTCTTCTGTAACTAAGTAGACCAAAATCTTTGCAAATAAGACAACTCGTTTGTCCTAGGACTCAGCTAAGTAAATATTCACTGAACTACCTCAAACGTATGGATTTCCATCCTTGAATAAGGAGACCAAAACTGTACATTGTACAAAAGATGCAATCTTACCAATGTCCTGAACAGTTGGAACAAGACTTCCTTACTTGTACAGTCCATCTTATTGCAATAAAGGCCAACATTGCATTTGCCTTTCTAATTACTTGCAATTCCTCACTTTGTGATTTATGTACAAGGACACTCGGATCTCCCTACTGATGCATTCTGCAATCTCTCTCTATATTTAAATAATATTTTGCTTTTCTATTCTTCCTACCAAAATAGACCTCACATTTTCCTACATAATATCCCAATTGCCCAATTATCATCAAAATAGTTTAATACAATACAGTTGGTCCCTTCATCAAAATTAATATAGATCATAAATTAATAAGGACCCAGTATTGATCCTTGTGACATTCCACTAGTTCAATTTGTCAGTCTTAAAATCATTCATTTACTTCCACTCTATCTCTTTTGTTAGTAAGCCAATCCACTATCAATGCTATTATATCACCAACACCATGAATATATATCTCACCTTAATAAATGCTTTTATACAAAGCTTAATACACTACATGCCTTTTTCCATCCTGCTTGTCACATTCTCAAAAAAATTAAACACAATTTCCATTTCACAAAATGATATTGACTTTGTCTGATTGCATTATGATTTTCTAAATGTCCTCCTACTACCTTCCTAACAATAGATTTTCATAATTTCCCAAAGTCAGATGTTAGACTGGCTGGGTAGTTGTTTTCCTTTCTTCAACAGGGGTGTTAATTCTGAGACTTTCCAAACTGCTTCAACTTTTCCAGAAATTTGGAAATTTGCAACCAATGCATCCACTACTTCTGCAGACACTGCTTGGCATGCAGGCCATCAGGTCAAAGGACTTGTCAGACTTTACCTCTTCTACTACCTTTCTGGTGATGATTGTTTTACCTTTCAGCCTCTCCCACTTTATCCATAATGCTTATTGTATCTTCTACAGTAAAGCTAGCTACAAAATACTTGTTTTCTTATGCCCCATTATTAACTCCCCTGTCTCACTCCAAAAAAGACCAATCCTCACTTGTCATTACAGTTTTACTTTGTACATACTTGGGGAAACTTTTGCTATTTTTATATTTCTTGCTTTTTATTATACTTGAATTCCTCACTTTTTTAGCAATCCATTGGGGCAGCACAGTGGCTCAGTGGTTAGCACTGCTGCCTCACAGCACTAGGGACCCAGGTTCAATTCCACCCTTGGGTGATTATCTGTGTGGAGTTTGTCTATTCTCCCTGTTTCTGCTGGGTGCTCTAGTCTCCTTCCACAGTCCAAAAATGTGTGGGTTAGGTGGGTTGGCCATGCTAAATTGCCCATAGTGTTCAAGGGTGTGTAAACTAGGTGGATTAGCCATGGGAAATGCAGGGCTGCAGAGAGATGGGTCTGGGTGGAATGCTCCTCAGAAGGGTGGTGTGGACTCAATGGGCCAATTGCTTGGTTTCCACACTGTAGTTCTTCAATGGTTTGAAACTTCTTACAAATCTATGCAGCACTGCACATCTTTTTCTTCAACGTAATATCAACAACTTCATTAGCTGATCATGAATTATGCATTCTTTTCATAAAGTTTTTCTTCCCAATTGAGAATTCATTTTTGTTGAGAGTTATGAAGTATTTTCTTAAATATCTGCTATTGCTTTTCGACGGTCTTGCTTTTTAATCTGTTTTTCCCTTTCATTTAGGCACTTTATACTTTGTAATTGTCTTTATTTAAGACATAGTTCAAACCCATGTTTCTCACCCTCCGGCTAGTTGCAAAATTCCATGTCACAATCATTTTTACTTCATTTAAGTGAGGTCATTTTTAATCCGGCACATTACCAGATCAGCTATTGTTCGAAATAAATTCTGTCCCAAAATCATTTTAACTCCTTCTCCAGGATACTAATGCCAACTTGATACATACAATTTGTAGAAAGACTAAGATCACCCATAAATATTGCAGGACCTTTCTTACAAGCTCTTCTCATTCTTTATTCACAAGTCACAGGACACCAGGTTATAGTCCAACTGGTTTCTGTGAAATCGCAACCTTTTTGCACTATAGCCAGATGTCGTGTGACTTCTGGCTTTGTCCACCCTGGCCAATTCGAGCACCACCACATCATATTTTTTATTGTTATTCTGCTGTATCGACTGCTCTCTCTAGTCACCTATTTCCCGTAGCATTTCTAATTATCCTGTAGCACCACCCTTAATTCCTTTAGCCCTACTCGACAACAACTCTCCGCCCCTTTATACTGCAGCCTCATCCCCTCACGATGTGGACCCGCCCAGTACAGTTTGGTCACGCCCCCGAACCAAGGCCCCCACCCTCCGTGCCGCTGATGGCTGGCAAGCTGTTGGCGCATGCGCTGTGAGACACGGCGACCGGGAGGCAGCTGCAGCGGTTGGGGTCGAGCTCGGTCTCGGGGCTCCGGCTCTCCGCTACCCAGGCCTAGCGGCGGGCCGGGCTAGGCTGGGTCGGGCCTGGCCGGGCTAAGGACCCAGAGCCCGGCCGCCGTCGCTGCCGGATGCCGGTGTGCTCGGATCGGAAGGGCCTCTTTGTGTGGATGGGAAGGATGGAGTCAGAAGAGCAGTGGTGGAAGGGGCAACTGGCGAGTGACATACACCAGGCGCTGAGAGTCAAGGTGTGGGACCGCCGGGGGCCGGGAGACAGGGCCGGGCGAGGGGATCGCAGCGGCCCCTCACTCGCCGCGAAACATGGGAGAGGGTTGGGGACCGCTACTGAAACTCCCAGGGCGAGACTGGATCTGTTTGGAATCGCAGCCGAGATCACCGGCCCAGTCTCCCTCATTACCGTCCCCAGTCACCCTCCCGTCCACCCCAATCCCGTCCAACCGCTTACTGGATCGTGTGGACCGAAGTCCTCCAAACCCTGTCGCCTCCTGGCTCTTTTGCCACACTCATCTGGCAGCCGCTCTCCACTCCTGCCTGTTAGCCCTGTCACGCTGCCCCCTCCCTCCCCGCTCGCAGATCACTGTTACCCCTCTCTCCACTGTCACCTCCCCTTGCAACCGATCACCCTTCCCTCCCACCGATCACCGCCACCCTTCCCTCCCACCGATCACCGCCATCCTCCCCTCCCACCGATCACCACCACCCTCCACCCCCCACCCTCCCCTCCCACAGATCACTCCCACCCTCCCCTCCCACTGATCGCTGCCACCCCTCCCCTCCGGCCGATCGCTGCCACCCCTCCCCTCCAACCGATCACTGCCATCCCTCCCCCCCTCTGATCACTGCCACCCCCTCACCCTCCTCTGCCACCAATCCCTGTCACACCCACCTTTCCCTCCCTCTGATCATTCATACCCACCCTCTGTCCCCCACTGCCATGATCACTATTAAACCCATACTTTTGCACTGATCATTGTGACCCCCACCTTACACCACTCCCATGCCACTGATCACTGTCACCCTCCCCTACTGATCACTGTCACCCCCCCCACCCTCTCCTACTGCTCACTGTCACCCCCACCCTTTCTCAACTATCATTGTCTCTTCTCTGTTTCTCTTACCCCCCTCCCTCCATTTCAGTCCCTGCCACTAACCCCACTGCACCATCACCCTCTCTGTTTCCTGTTACTGACCCTCTACATGATGTTGTACATGCAGTCCCTGCTGGGCCTGAGTTCTCACTTGCCATTTTAACTGCCCCTTTATTTGCTTTGAACTCAAAAGTTTCTAAATTACTGGCTTGCTGATGGAAAGTTATGCAGTGTTTGATCTGTGAATGAATGTTGATTGATTTTTAAACACCCCTATGTCTGAACATTGTTCTATTTAAAGCGACTGTTTTAAGTACTCCATGATTCTCCCCCTCCCATCTGATTCCTTTTATTGTAGCTGCTAAGGACAGATGAGGTTCTTCCTTTTGTCTCAAAGTCATTCCGAACTGGTCTCCAGTGCCGGATCTGATTTGTTTTAAATACATGAAATACTCAAAACATTTCAATTCAGTTTTTGAAGAAGTAAAAACAGTTTTGAAGATAATGATGGACATATTTTTAAATCTCAGATGTAAATCTCCTTGTAATTTACTGCTTTTGATGATGGCTTTAAGAAGAAACAAGTAGAAAATGGTAATGCAGTACCTAACAACTATTTGATGTCATAATACAGATTACTGGCTTTTTAAAACTGAGAATTTGGGTTTAATTTGGATTCTTGGAAACTTGCCTTTGATTAATGCCTGTATAAATAAATTACAAAACTTAAGTCTAAACATAAAAAAAACTAGTGAACTGTTATTATAAAGTAAATAAAAATTTTCACCCTGAAATTAAATATCTAAGTATTGTAAATTCCATTCCTTAAAATGGATTCTACACATCTAAAGTGTAGCCATTTTTAGCTTTATGTACAAAATTGACAGAAAGCCTTTATTGCATTACTGACACACTTTTCTGTTTAAGTATTGTGATGTTTCTCAGGTATTGTTTATTTCACTGGTCTAAGGACAATTTGATCACTTATTGAAACCATCTGGGTGGCTGAGAAATGAGAGTCCTAAGGATTTGACTGCTGTGTTAAACCCCCATTCATGACTGAGATGAAAATTAAATATTCTGAGGCAGAGTTGTACAAACCTACAGTTGCCCCAACCCTAGAATTTCGTGACCTTTCAAGCGGCAACATATGCAAATTGAACTATCCCTTTACGAAAATGTTTTTTATATTCTGTATAGTTGTTTGCTGTATGTAGGAAGTTGTAAGTTTGCAGATGTTAGTAGTTATGTCAAACTGTTCCCAGGATGTGATTTCCTCCAGTAATTAGAGGTTTGTATGGCAATGCTGCATTTCCTTTCTACTTAATTACTCACAATTCTTGGCTTTCAAAATTAAACGTCATGATTTATTAAAAAGTTACGATGTAGTACTGCAAGTTAAGATGCAGGAGCTGTTTGAGAACAATAGTTTCTAGATGTGAGTTAATGAATCATGCTACCATTAAAAGTTCATCCACGGTTGATGTTTAGTATTCCTAAACATCTATGTTATAATGCAGCTGCAGCAAAATAATTTCACTGGGGGTTGACTGGAATTTAAAAGTAAAATATTTCACTTTTAATGTTTTCAATTTCCAAATCTAAGCTTTGAAATAATCCTTTGTTTTGAAATTTTATCTGAAATATTGGCCATTAAATCAATCCCAAATCAAGATGCCCAACACAATTTACTTTCTATAGCCTAGTTCCTCAAGATAAACTGTTTCCGACAGACCCTTCAGAATCCAAAATAATTTTCTAGGTTATGCATAAGACCTCAAAAGTTTGATTTAGTAGAATGTATATTGGGTGAAACCTTGATGTTTTAAAACTTTAAATTAGAATCATCATAAGAAGTGAATTCCATAATTTTAAGGATGCAACCTGTTGCATTTGTCAGGTGAAGTTTCCAACATGCAAGTTGTTTTCTTTAATGCATTTATTATAAATGTAATAGACCAGAGACGTTTTATTTCCAGATCTTGGGTTTTCCCTGCTGTGTGTTGAGAAATTTAATATTGCTGGGTATTCTTGAGATTCCTGTTTGGTTTTGAAAACCATGGGAAAAATAAACTATTTCTAGGTGTTAAAACAACAAAGATATGTTTTAGGACTTTTTATCCCACCAGGAGGTCTAAATGATTGACAGAAGTTGAAAAGGTCTTGGGAAACAATTGGGAAGAGGTCACATGGCAAGTGTGAACCTATTTTTCTGGGAATTTGTTTTTCCATCCTGTTGGGTAAACCCAAGTTGAACAATTATTGTGAGTTTGAAATTTGGCTTTTAATTTGTCATAATGAGGGTCACCTGTAACAAAGTCCCTTGCTTCATCAAACTCAGTAGGCAGCTGTACAAGAAACACAATATGACATGGGCTTTGAAAAGCTTGGAGTTTACTGAAGCATGGCTTAGTACTGTGCTTCGGCTTTATGCATTGTTTTTATGATGTGGTTTTCAACCACAACTACACACCTCCTAATCGTGGACTGTGCTTGCATGTTTTTTCCTGGCGTAAATCCTTTCCAACAACTGTTCTGTTTAGTTTTAAAGAAAATGTGCTTTTGTTGCTAAGCAGCCAGACCCTACTAGCAGGTGGCAAGCGAGAGCCTCTAGGTATCCTTTCTGTCATGACACACACTTGACGCTGCCTTTTCTTTACTCTACTGTTTTGCATAGGAACTGAAGCTGCCTGTCTACAAGGCTCATTCGCCACAGATTGGCTTGCGCCGCTATTTTGCTGACCTTCTTGCCATCTTGAGTAATCGCTACCAGCTTTGCCCTACAGCACGTCACCTTGCTGTTTACTTACTAGACCTCTTCATGGATCACTATGATGTTGCAGCAAAACAGCTGTACGTCATTGCTCTCTCCTGCCTCCTCCTAGCTAGTAAGTATGATTTACTAGTAACAGGTTTTTAAAATTTGGATGCTTGAATAGTAACTATAACTTAAAAAATGATTCTGCCAGTGGTTTTTTACTTTTATTAATGTGATCAGTTTACAAATTTTCAGATTACCTCTGTTTGAAAGTGCAAATGTAGCAAAAAGTATTGTTCCCATTTCGTATTTATGCTTTTCTGAATTTTAACTAATGTTAAAAGGAATGTGTGGCTTTGAAGCATGTCTCATCCGGAGGCAACTAAACATTTTTAACTATTTTACATGTAGAAAGTAATTGACTCACTCTGTGTCTTTACTGTGTGAAGTTTTATTCTGTTCAGTGAAACCCATGGTTTACCAAATACTCTTTGATTATTTCAAAATTACTTAAGTTTTTTGCTGTATGCTGTTTTGACTGTTTTACCCAAATACTTCCTTCTGTTCTGGGATAATAATCTTCAGGTGGAAGTAGCCATGTTCTTATGTGGTTTTGCTTTCTCAACAAACGTATACAACCTGATGTGAAGCACTATTGTGTGTAACCCTTACACGATTTGGGATGTATTTATACTGTTAGACCAGCTAGACCAGTAGCAGTTTCTAAGTAGATTGCTTGATGCTAGTAGGATCTGGTTGCAACTTAAAACTGCCCTATTTAACAGAGGAGTTTACACAGGCCTGAATACATGGATGGGCAGCAGTGCTTTCCTTATGACTTAAAAAAAATTAAATGTTTAGAGAGGGCTAAAGGAATCAGTTGGCCCAGACATGTAATGACACATCTCCGGAGCAGGTGAGACTTGAACCCAGCCTCCTGACTCAGGAGGAAGAATTTTTATTTCTTTCACTTTACACATTTTAATTAAGGCCAGGTGATAGCTTGCACACTTTAGAAACGAGATTTAAAATTGCGCTGAACTTACATGTTGGAGTCTGTTTAGGTCCTGACTCCCAAGATTATACCAAGAGTTTATTGTTTGTGACATCTTCAATTGATTCACACCAGAATACACCAGTATAACTGAATCATTTAATGTCATTTGTGAAAATAAATGAAGCCTTTGATAGATGGCAATAATAATATATCATTTTGGTCCTTTGAAACATTACTGATACTGTGGTTAATGTCAAAATGTGTAGTTTCTCTCTCCTTTGCTTAAGGTACTGTTCTGTGTAGCAGTATAAAGCCTCAAGATGCCCATTTGTATCTTGAACATTGGTCTGTTATCATACAAAGGTCCTGACAATCATAAATATGTTTGTACACAGAAGCAAGCATTCACATTGCTACCCAGACAGATGTGACGCTAGCAGTTTACATGTTTCTATAATTTGCTTCACGTAGGGTAGATCAGGAGTCTGAGCCAACAACACCTTTCACCTTTCAGTTTCTGTTGTCAGACTATCCTCAACAAGGAACAGATCTGTGAACGTGGTCTCCTTTGTTTATGAGAGACTGGATTTCCAGAGATTCCAGCAACTTTCCCGGGCTCTTTTAGCTTTTCTAAACTTTTCATGCAGCCTTTGCAAGTTTTGGGACTTGTTAGTCAGCTTGTACAGCACCTCAAAGAATTGTCAAGTTTGCCAAACAGAAAGACTGACCTCTTCCTGGGAACAATTTTTGTTTTTTCACAATATTTATGTCTATTCGTCTTTCTGTCCTTGTCTGCATTCACATTGTATCAATATCTGAGAATTGATTGCCTTCCTACTCCAGTTCATCTGCTTGTCCTTTTCCTTAGTGTCTGGCTACCACATGACTCCTTTGTTAACTACCTGTTAGTGCTGTTTCCAGGTCAGGGGTTGCCAAATCGTCTGGACAGTAGTTCATATTATTCAAAGATTTTTGAATGGAAACAAGCCATCAAAAAATTATTTCAAGCATTCTCAAACAATTGCAGGTTCCACAGAATTTTTGAAGAAATTATAAATTTTCCTTTCTGCTTCTGGGTCAGAGATCATCAGAACACTCCAGCTGAAATATCCTACTGGTTGTTTCTTCTCCAGCTTTTGAATGACTTGCAGTGTGTTACTTGTATTTCTGTTTTTGCTTTAAATCTTGTTGATTTATCAAGTTCTCTTTCAGTGACCTTCAGTCTTTTATCAGTGATCACGCACAGCAAGGGTAAGAAGGAGGAGGGAGTGTGGAGGAGTACTTTGGAAACAGTTGTTACTGCTTATGTTATTGTGATTTTCTATTGCCTTAAAGCAAAAAGTACTGAATTATTTGGGATCCAGTGTAAGTCTAATATTTTGAATGTGGCACAGTTTATGAATGAACCATCTGATTTGTTTAAAATGTTCAACATTTACTTTTTTTCTGCTGAATACAAGTAAAGACTTACTAAAAAGTTTAGTAGGCCATTAGTTCTGCTCCAGCATTCTATTAATTGCCTAGTATTTAAATCCAGAAGTGAGCCTTAGAAAGTTATTTTACAGGATGTTTTGCTAAAGCATAGGTTTAATTTTTTTAAGCCTAACTAGGAGTAAATTTTATGTCAGAAAATAAGGATTTGAGTATTGAAATCAATCTTGGTATTCATCCTTGTTGGTAATAAGAATATTTGTTAAAATTATGCCTGAAATCTGAAATTTAATGATTATCATCATATCTTTCTTTATTGTGGCAGATTAAATAAATGGTTGCATTATTTTACAATGGTAATCTTTGCTTAACAGCTTATGTTGAAACAATGATTCTTGCTCATTGTAAGTTTATCCCCATTAGTTGTGATGTGGAGGTGCCGGTGTTGGACTGGGGAGGACAAGGTCAGAAATCACATGGCACCAGGTTATAGTCCGACAGGTTTGTTTGAAAACACCAGCTTTTGGAGCGTAGACTTCACCTGACGAAAGGGCTATACTCCTAAAGCTTGTGTTTTCAAATAAACCTGTTGGACTATTACCTGGTGTTGTGTGATTTGTGACCTAGTAGTTGTGATAGTGTTAGCTGCCAAGCAGTTAATTAAATCTACTCACAGTAATTCCCTTCAATGAAGTTCTTTCTGTCTTTGTGACTTATTTAGCATAGCGTGACTATCTTATGCTGTGGGATGAAGTATGATGCAATATTCAAGAACTCTGCACTTGCGTTGCAGGAAGCAGTCCTAAAATTCTCATCCGTGTTTTCAAATTCCCATGGTCTGTACTCCCCCACCCCATGATCCCTTCCAGCCCCATAAACCTCTGTAATCTGCACTGCTCCAATTCTACTTGGTGAGCATTCACAAACATTATTACTGTAAACTGATTTTCATGATTCAGTAGTCTAGGTCCTAATGTCTGAAACTTTCTCCCTATGCCTCTCCTCCTTTAAGATACTTGTTGAAAACCTATCAAGCTTTAGTTAATATGATAGATGGAGTATGAAGAGTGACTGACAGCTAACATAAAGGGAACCTCAGAAGTCTTGTATTGCTACATAGATAGTAAAGGCTGGCAAAAGGTGGAGTGGGGTTGATTTAAGGACCAAAAATAAAGGTGTTTACGAAAACGGTTCCAGGAATGAGGAAATCAGAGGCTGGGAATTCTGCAGCAAGTAACTCACTAGTCTTCTCGATGCCTGTTGAACATTTACAAGACAGTTCGGGAATGTTGTAGAATGTTCTGCACTTCCCTGAGTAGATGTGACTCCAGCAGCACTCAAGAAGCTTGACCATCAAGAACAGTGCAACCCATTTGATTGGTGCACTATCCGCCACCCTCAACATTCATTCCCTCTGCCATCGCACAGTTGTAGCAGTGTATATCATCTGCAGATGCAGTGCAGTAATGTACTTGGGCTCCTTTGACAGCATGTTCAAACCTCCAACCTAGAAGAACAAGAGATACAGATATTTGGGAGTACCACCACCTGCATACCTCAGCTGCTGTGGCTAAGAGCAGCTCACTTGGCACTGACCAGTATATAAGACCTGTTGACTAGCATGGTTGAAGCTCATAGACAGTACTTTGAATTATTGATGGGTTATTCTTCAATACTTGGAAATTCAGTCATTCTCCCTCAATGCTAGCACTGATTAGGGATAGTCAACATGGCTTTATGCATGGGAAAACTCACTTGATTGAGTTTTTTGAAGATGTCACAAGATTGACGACAGAGCAATAAACATTGTCTAAATGGACTTCAGCAAGGGTTTGACAAAGTTCTGCATGGCACACGGGTTGGCAGAGTTAGATTATGTGGAGTTCCATGAGGAACTAATCAATTGGATACAAAATTGGCTGAAGGTAGGAGACTGAGAGTGGTAGTAGAGAGTTGTTTTTCGGACTGGAGGCCTGTGACCAGCGGTGTGCTGCAAGGCTCGGTGCTGGATCCACTGCTTTTCATCATTTACATAAATGATTTGGATGTGAATATAGGAGGTATGGTGAGTAAATTTACAGATGACACCACAGTTGATGGTGTGGTGGACAGTGAAGAATGTTATCTCGCAGTACAACAGGACGTTGATCAGATGTGCCAATGGAGCAAGGAGTGGCAGATGGAGTTTAATTTAGATAAATGTGAGGTGTTGCGTTTTGTTAAGGCAAGACCGGGCAGGACTTATACAGTTAATAGTAGGACCCCTGGGTGTGTTGCCGAACAAAGATCTAGGGGTGTGGGTGCATGGTTCCTTGAAAGTGGAGTTGCAAGTAAACAGGGTGATGAAGGTGGCATTTGGCACGCCTCCCTTCATTGAACAGAACATTGAGTATAGGAGTTGGGATGTCATGTAGCTGCACAGGACATTGGTGAGGCCACTTTTAGAATACTGCGTACAGTTCTGGCCGTCCTTCTGCAGGAAATATGTTAAACTTGAAAAGGTTCAGAAAGAAAGATTTGTGAGGATGTTCAGAGATAGTAAGAACTGCAGATGCAGGAGTCAGAGATAACACAGTGTGGAGCTGGAGGAACACAGCAGGCCAGGCAGCCTGGAGCAGAAAAATTGATGTTTCGCGTCAGGACTCTTAAGAAAAAATTTACTGGGATTGGAGGGTTTGAGCTATAGGAAGAGGCTGAATAGA